TATGTATGTATGTATGTATGTATGTATGTATGTATGTATGTATGTATATATATGTTATGTTATATATCAGACACATATATGATAACAATATGTATAACACCACGGCCCCAACTGCAAATCCAAGACTTCTCCCGAGGTGCAAAAGTCCAACACGGAGCATCCGGTGGACACCAAGGAAGGCTACGTGCCTCGGTTTGAGCATGCTTGGTCACCAGCTAATAAAGCAGGAAGCTGGCTTTTGCTAAATATCCCGAACTGGTGAATCTGGGGAAAAGTTGTGTTTTTTTGACAGCAAAAACAACGGGGGAAAACACAAATTGCCGCGTCAGGACGTCGCTGGAAGATTGGGTTGGATCTTTGAAGTGAGTGTTGAATGGATTGCTTGTTCAGAAGCTCAATTTGTGTTCGTTTCTCTCTCTCTCTCTCTCTCTCTGTTTTCTTCTCCCATCTTCTCTTCAGTCTCACCCAGAAGCCTTGGTGAACTCATCCTTGAACTCAGCAAGGCTTTCCCCAAAAAAACATCTCCATGGTGACTCGATGCCAAACCATAGCGTCAACTCACGCAACGACCTCCGGACACCCACCCAACTCGGAAACGAGGAGGAGGGCGTTCGACGATCCCTCAGCGTCAACTCACTCGGACCATCCAAGAACTTCCGTGAAAAGCAGGTAAAACTTGGAAACAACGAAGACATCTTAAGACATATCTTAAGACATATCTTAGAATGAACCGGTATATTGAATGAACCGGTATATTGAATGAACCGGTATATTGAATGAACCGGTATATTGAATGAACCGGTATATTGAATCTAAGCCAGTCTACCAAAAAGGAGCCTCGGATTTAAGCCCACCTTTCCAACAATTCTTGCTTGGACCGGTGCCCAACTACCACCTGTGGTTCAGGTGCTCCCTACAGCCTGGCCAGGAGCGTCCTGGGAAAAAAAAGAATGTTTAAATGATGTTTATTGATTCATCAAACCACCCCAATGTAGGAACAAGTCCTGGTCCACCGCCAGGGTGGGTCGCTCCCCTTACTCGCTTCCTGCGCCCGTCCGTCTCTCGTCTCTCGCAACCCGACCTCTCGAGGTCGAGAGACAGGTCGACCTTGGTACACACAGCTCTAGACCCGAAATGGACCCGAACTGGAGGGTGACCTGACCCTGCAGAAGTTCAGGGGTTGGTTGGGCCCTTGGACCCGAAGCAAACCTGAACCACGTCTTGAGGGTTCTTGATTCGTAGGGCGCCGTAGGGTATGATCATTTCCTACACCTCTTGGCCTACCTCCGTTGAGAAGATGGGCCAGGGATAAAATGCCAGAGGGGTCGGAAGACACCACCTTCACCTGAGGATGGCAGGGCCGAACTCGGAGCCCTAATTCGGGATTGAGAATTACACTCTGGAAGAGGATCCCCAAACGACCGGGTTCTAACCAGTCGGACCACTCTAAAACAAGAGTGGTCCCATCAGGTCCGATGCGAAGCCGGGAGGCCCCCCAGAACGTCCATGGGTCCATGGGTCTCTTTTCAAATGAAGGGGGTTGGATCGGTCCGATGGCCCAAATGGTTGGGGTTTGGGCCCCTCTACCCCCTCTGATGTCTTGGACGGTGGTCGTTTTTCCGAACTCGGAGACGGTGAAGACACAGGTGTTATGTCTCCTTACTGTAGATCTCCTTAGTTCCATCCATCCAAACTGGAAAAGATGCTGCCCCAGAAAGAGCTCTCAAACCAATAGAGTTCGAAGAACCCGACTGTTCGACTATCCCAGTTGGATACCCCAGGTGATGGGTCCGTTTTCAGGTCACAAAAAACCTCTTATATATATATATATATATAGGCCAGTCCATGGATGCTAGCGCTGGTGTCCACCGGCTTGCTCCCGCGCAACACACGTTCCCCTCGGCGCCACACAGCACGCTCGCGGAACGAGGTCTTTGCGGAGAACTGCTGGGATGCGGTGATCTGTTTTGGGCATCCGTCCATCGGTTGGGGCTCCTCCATGGCCGCTGGGGACAATGCTTGGACGGGTTGTGCCCGGTGAAACAATATGAAATAATTAGTGCCCGGTGGTAGACGGTGGTGGACGGTGGTGGACGGGGAGGTCAGGTGAGGTGTTCCGGAAAGAGAAGTTCCAACAAATGGACAGAGTTGAGAGGAGAGAAGGACGTTCTGGATCACCTTGAGGAGCTATAGTTTCTCTATGTCTTTGTGTTTGGCAGGTGGTGAAGAACCGGGGTGGAGCCTGATATGGGGAGGGGCGGTGGTGGTTTTGTGGTTTTGGCCTGGACAAAAAACATAATTTGCACCATATCAGCATAAGGTTTGGACTATTGGTGGCCAATTGGATGATCCAGGATATAATAGTTCTTTATATGATTCTGCCGACCCGCCAGCTACAGTGTGTCATGTTCACAGTGTGTCACCGGGTTCGAGTTGCAAGCGTGCTCATTCCTGAGATACTCCTCTTCCTGCTGGCCTTCACAGTCTTCTTGCAGCTGGTGTTCTGTTGCTTGGTTTGGAGGAATGTAGACTCTTGACTAAAAAACTCCCCAGTGGAAGGGCCACAATGACAATGGGGAGGTTATTCATTAAAGTTCGATATTCCGAGGACAGTGGTCAATCAAAGATTTTGTGGGGAGCAGTCATCCTACGACATAGGACACCAGAAACTGGTTTGATCGGACCAGGCGCTGCAGGCGCCGAAGAGAAGCTCTTCGTCTTTTCGTGAAAAAGAAAACGTCACGCGGAGGCGTCTCATGGTCACGTCAAATACTCAGATCTCACTAGGCCACTAGGCGGCTGTTCCCAAACAAAAAGAACACCGAAGACTCAGGCTACATGGTCTACACCAGCTTCACCGAGAACCCTTTCGAGACTGGTGCCGTCACCGCCCTGCGTCGCTTGGACCGATCCTGAGTCCGCCCTGCGTCGCTGAGAGGCGAACAGGGCCTGCGAGGTGCGACCCCAGAGCATTGAAGGATCGGCATGAGGACTGGACTATTTACATTACATACGGGTTGCGAACGTGAAGCCAGGGGTGAATGTATGGTATGGCCCCAATTATGCCAGTCCCATTGGTTTGTGCCTGCGGATATACATCATTTGCCCCATTTATGATCATGTATGGCCCCAATGTATATATAAAACTCACCTCAGGTGTCCCACAGCGCACAGCACGCGTGAACACAATGCACGCGTCTCGGCGCAGTGTTGCTGTAGGTCCTCGAAACATGTCAATGGCGTTTCTTGGAGATTCATCAATGCAGTTAACCTCGTTGTTGGATCTTTATCGGAAAGACGACAAACAAATTCAAGAATGGCATGAGCTGGCAGCAAGGCGCTCATTTGTTGGATCACAGTGGGCACCACTGGAGGTGAACTAGATAGAAAGAATGTCAGTATAAATGTGAACAGAATGTCAGACAATCAGAACATATTCCTGATAGGATGCCAGATAGAATGCAAGAATTGATGCCAGATAGAATGCTCTAAACTATGCCGTTGTATATTCAAGATAGACGTCGGCTACTAGCAGGGTAGAATGCCATGGTGCGGAGTATGTTTTCTCCATGGAACTCAGTGAAGTGATCGAGGAAGGCAGTGCAGCCAGAGTTTTCACAACATGTTTCTTTGCACAACCGAGTTGTTTCATCATTCCCCGGTTTTAATTCAATGTGTCTTAGGTGTTTGAGGGAGTAGAGTTGATGGTTGACAAACTAAAGGAACTGTCGGCAAATGAATTGTTTTGTTTGACTGGAACAGCCGTGGCGGGAATCAACTGCCAGGGAATGCCAGGGATGACATAGGCGTGATTCTTTGAACCTGCGTTCACATTGGGAATGAGCTGACATGGAGCTTCGCTGGACGGCCAAGGATGACTGTCTCGCTTCACTCTATGGCTGTCACTGTGGAAATACACTGAGGTTATTGGCGCATCGACATTGCACACCAGGCGAGTCTGGTTTCAGGGGAAGCACAGAATTGTCAGGTCAAACAATTTGTCGATACTACAAGCATCCTCAAAGGATCCTCAACGGAATTGGTGTTTTTTTTTGCGCCAGGGCGACAGATGGACAGGTTGGAGTTGTGGGATGCACCGAACTCTCGCCAGGCGAGTCAGACCTCCCGCAACTCGATGGCTTCCTTGGCCGCCCGCACGTGCGAGTTCGACAAGTCCCTGGCGCCTCAGCTGCGCTCGTTTTCCTGGAGGGTGGTCTGCGGAGGCTTTGGAGAACAGTCTCAGCATGAAAGGTTGAGGTTGTTCAATCCATCAACTGCCTTCTTTTGCATCGTTAATAGTTTGGTACGTAGATTGTTGATTCATAAGAATCCCCCAGACATTGACATGGATTGCAAAAATGATTCAGTGTTGAAATATCATCAGTCTACGTTTTCAGAGCTGGAACCTGGAACGGCCAACCTGGTTAATGCCCTGTCAGACTGATGCCAATATAGCCTAACTAGGCTGGTTGATGTTGATCCCAGCCATCATGGGCATCGATGCTCGTCCCCAGCCTCCGTGCGTTGCCCTTATGGCCCGTGCTTTTCCATGCGGGATTTTACTAAGCCAGTGGATCCAGATACGTACCACTATAGTATAACGTAGGTAACCAGTGGGGTTAAAGACTAAAAGCCGTAGACCAAACGAAACTGTGGTTCCTCGTAATGATAGTGGTAGCTGAGATCTACTTGGAGTGTGACCAATCTCCACCATTAGTGCCACAAGCTGCAGAAAGATGGGCAATAGATGAGAAAAGATACCAAACAGATCCAAAGAGACTAAGCCGTGTCAGGATGTGCTCAAGTTCTGTCGAGGTTAACATGTCGAACACTTCAACACTTCAAGAAGATGAGCTTATCGTTTATGTTTGATGATCCGATGGGGTTTGCAACTGGTATGTTCAAAGTGATTCTTGTTGGTCAGATCGATGGTCACTTAAAATTTCCTTGCCGGGTTTACTCCATTGAAAAGTCCCCAATGCCTATTCGAAGTTAATGAGAGCCTTGACCACTGCCACCACCCTCGCACAGTCGGGGTCAGCCGGGCAACCCAGAGGAGATGGACTGCAGAAGTAGAAGCTGTTCAGATACCCACTTGAGATACCTGAAAGGAACGAATGATTGCTCCAACTTGGAGAACCTCAAACCCCTGAAGAAGGTAGAGCTTCACAGCGTTGAGAAATGACTAGCATATCCAATAGCATCGATGGACAATTTGATGTTACTTTTTTTAGTTGGGAACCAGCTCTGCCGACTAAGGCCAGCTCCTTCAGCGAGAAGGACAAAGCTGATGACCGCTGATTGTGTTGTTTTTCTGTATTTGGGGGGAGGCTGCAGTCGAACATATTCAAGGCTGCTTCTTTTTGGATCTTTTAGGGTATTTGTTCAAACGCATGGACCCGAACTTCTCATGAAGGCTTGAACCACCATGAAACACTAGGAGCCGACATTGTTCTTTAATGTTCTTTACAACTGTGGCTCCTGGTTTTGGTGAAAATTGGTGTCTCAGTTCTTTGTTTAATCCCGAACTGTTTAAATCCTCTTCTGCAGGGGAATAAGTGCTTCGTTTTCCCGCCCGGTTCCTGGCAAGCAAATCCAAGAGCTCCTGATCGGATGGAGAGTACCATATAGAATCTGACGCAGCAACGGCGACATCTAAATAGCTGGAATTTGGGTTGAAACCTGCAAAAGCATGCAAAGGCGATAAGCCCCCCTCACAGTGACAACCTTGCGGGCTCACCATGTCCTCTACTTAACATTATGTTTTGGCAGAGGCTCGTGTGGCTAACAAAACAAGACAAGTATTCAAGACTTCAAGCTCTACACCCCATATCAGGCAATGGGAGTAGTATGGCCGTTCCAGTACAGTAGTTCATCAGATTGGATCTAAGCATGCTGCATGTTTGCTGTTCCGGAAGTGTAATCATGTATACAGCTTGGCTTTGTCCCATTGCCTGGAACAGTTAACAGTCGGCAAGCAATTATGTTACTGTATCATTTTTTTAGAGAAAGGCCAAATGTTACTGTTACTAACCCTCATCATCGGATAGACCCAATGTACACAGCAATGTTTAGGCATGCTTTAGGAGAGCATCTACTTGTAAAGAAAGTCAAATGTAGTTCCGTGTCAACTTCTATTCTTGGCATTTGATGAAGTACCCATTATGAACATTTATGAATTATGGCTCACAACAAAAACAAGTCTTTTGGCTCGTAGCTCCCGATTTGCTTTGCAGGAGATTGCTGAGAATGTGTTTGAGTGTCTTGGACCTGTTGGTGGAAAGACAAAAGCCACTATAGGGCTTTTGAAGAACTGTGGATCAGAAAGGTTTGTTTGGCCTAGTGATCAAAACACATCACCAGTAAAACAACTGAAATATATATATATATATATAAATATGTTTTTTATACCCAATCAACCAATGGTTTTAACAAATGGCCTATTCAGCTGATCCCTTCGTCCCCCTGGTGCCTTGGTAAAAGTAAAGTCCGCTGGCCCGGTCTAGTTGAGTCGCTAGAGCCTGGATAGCGAGAAGATCTAAACGAATCAACTACTCACCTATAATGCAGTATGTAACACTTCGCATTCTTCCGAGCTGTATGAAGGCTTCTCTACGAACCAACAGTTAATAGCAAACGTCTCTTCAAGCTCAGCTTCATACCCACTTCTCGCTTCTCGCATTTGCTTCAGTTCTGTTGCAAAAATGCCATGGGTGCCTGCATGCTGTCTGTGGGAAACTGAGTCTTTGTGCCAATGATCTGTGTGAGCTTGTCACCAACCTCTCTCTGCTGTGTTGCTGAGAACTGCACTGCTTGTCACTAACGGATACTCACGGTCCTCTCTTCTTTTGGTGACAACATATTGTCTTCTAACATCACCCATAATCTGATTGTATGCAGTTGGTTCGCAGAACATGGATGATATCAGATGTCCCGGCATAGATCGCTGCCATTGTATTCGACATAAGTCTTGCTTGGCTGCATCCTCACAGGACAAGCTGTGAGAGACCACTGTATCATCTGGCGCCTAACTATCACAATTGCATTGGGATATCTTGCAACAATCACAGACACGAGATTTGGCCCATTCGCGTGTGTTCTTTTGCTTCATCAATCCCATCCAGCACCGCAGAGTCACCATTGTCGATAGCTGTCAAAAAGCGTCCAGCGTTATCTCTTTGCATTAAGGTCCGATCAACTTTGGTCATCGTTTGGAGAGCATGTTGACGAGGAAGTGTGAGATGCAGCAAATGGTGAAGAAGAACCATCGAAAGAAGTGGAGGAAGCAGTCACTGAAGAGGCTGAATATGTTAGACAGAGAAAGAGTCAACATCGAAAGGGAACCAGCAGATAAACCAACTACCAGAGCTGGAGAAGGGCAGGGTGAACAAGCTGAAGATGAAGGTATCGACCATGATGCAGAGGCTTGTATTCGATATGCATCAAGTGAATTCGCAAATCCTGACATCATTCCACAAGATGGATGTGTCAAGTATGGCAAGGGTCAGGCTCTGAATGAGAATAAATCATTTCAGCGTGACTACCACTGCGGAGGCATTGTTGTGAAGTGGAATGTCACTACCTTTGTTAGCAATCACCACAAGATGGAGATTGCAACAACCAAGTCAAGGGCAAACAAGACCACTGATGAGATTTGTTCAGAGATCAACGAATTCACGCTGCTGCATCCAGAACAACATACCTGCCCTCTCTTTTCTGAGGATGATCTGCTTCCTTTGGTTGCAACCTACCATCGGTCATCTCGATTCGAGGAATGGTGGCTGTTGAGTCCAGCAACGTATCGCGAACAACATGCAGCAACGAAGCCACGAAGACCTACTTGTGACAAAGGATTGTTTCTACGGCCCGCACGGCGGCACGGCTTGCATCAACAAAACAACTGCTTACGGGGATACTCGAGTGACAGGCAGCTTGTGACTGCTGACGGGCACCGGATACTCGAGCAACTCCCAACTGAGATGCTGGTTGGATTCAGGGACTTCACGACTTCACTGTGAGCTTCCCGAGAAACACCACCGGGATGTACACCAGGGTCAATGCTGTGGAAGCACCAGCTAGTCTGCCAATAGACACAGTTAATGAACACACGAGGTACATCGATAGCAGCGCCGTTGGGGAAACAGCTGCTATATCCGAGAGTCTTAGGATCCGCTCTATGCTGACTACTATATATATGGTTGATATGAAGTCTCAAGCGGAGATCGAGAAGCTACGCAATGTCATTGCAGATGTCTGTGCAGAGGGCCATGTCATGTAGCATACTTTTTTTGAGCAATCCGCGGGTCAAATTTAGAGGAGAAAGACACCACATGCCTTTGTGAGCCCCCTGAGGGTAAAACTTAAACCAGGAACGTTTTGTCAGCCACCCCCAGAAAGAAATCTCGCATGCCATCCGTTATCAGGTTTACTGTAAAGGAGGGAGGTTCCACGTACCTTTTGTGAGCCACCCGAGCAGAAAATCTGGAGGAGGAAAAGGCCATTCCAAGGTATGTCCGTTTGTGATCCCCGGAGTTTAACATTTAGAGAAGAGGAAGGGGTCACTCCAGTGTAGCATACCTTTTGCTAGCCCTGCAGGTAAAATATAGAGGGGGAGGTGCCATTACCTTGTACTATACTACCACCACCACAACTACTGCTAGTGCCTCCTACTCTACTACTAGTACTGCTACCGCTACCACTACGACGACGACGACGACGACGACTACTACTACTACTCTTGCTGCTGCTGCTACTACTGCTGCTGCTGCTGCTGCTGCTGCTGGCGTTGTTGTTGTGTAGGGGTACTACTACTGCCACTGCTACTGCTACTACTACTTACTACTACTACTACTACTACTACTACTACTACTACTACTACTACTA